ATTAATTTAAAAATATGAATGCGCCAAAGCCTGTGAAAATTTCCTCTAAATCCTCTTTCGAGAGATGTCAGACGCATCATCGAGATCCTCCACATTACCACGTATACGTCCAGAAAAATTAGGATGTTAAGGTGATAACAAGGAAAAATATTAAGATATAGAAAAGAGTTAAAATATTTGATTCTTGCATAGTTATTCTTTATATGACCCCTTACTACTTTATATGAAAAGGTTACGATTGCAAATAGCTCCTTTTGGCCCAACTGTAACATACCGTAATCCTGAGCTCACAATTCCACCATGGTCCGCATGCCATTCCATTTCCCAAAAGCGAATCACGTTCAATCCTAGTAAAAGATTAGTTTCCTTCATGTGTACTTATGTTACATAATATTAGCAAAATTACCTAACGCAGCTCCCACTACTACAGTAACTGCTCCTTTACTTCTGCGTATACATGTTAATCGCAATTTCCACGGATTAGATGGGTGACAGATCGCCTGAACAGAGGTTTTGAGATATTGGTAAGTGCTGAATGACTATTTTAAGCACCTGGAATCTCTGCGCACATATCAAAGTTAACAGCCAGATAGCTGCATAGTTAGCCGCTAGCATTAACGGGTATCCGAGACGTACAGTAATCGCATTTAAACGGTGGAGATTAGCCGCTTCTCGAGGGAACTCATTTCCAACGAACTAAAAATTATAGATGAATTTGGAGTCACTTTTTTGTAAGGATTTAGAAGAAACAGAAGTTTCCCATAATAGTTATAAGACCTAAATTTTATATCCATTTTCGACTTGTATAGTTGTTTAATAAAATGTGAGTGATTGTTCTTAGCACATATTTTAATAAACGTAGGCAAAAAGCTCATCTTATAGATATAAAGGTAAAGGAGCACATGCTTTCTTTCAACAAATTTAATATTACAGCTTAGCTTTTTAGACTCTTAAAGGAAGGAACGCAGACAATCCTTAAAACGTTCAAGGGGAGCGCTTAATTCAACGAGCAAAGCCACCTCATCATAAGCAGTGTTTAATTTCACAGAAGCTGCTTCAAATTTTTTTTTTCTCAATTAGTGAGAACTCGTGACAAAATGCTTGAAAATCCCAATAGACTGAATACAACTCATAGATCTTCCAGTTGTCAGTCGAATGAAGCTCAGTCGTTATACGCACGAAGGGCATACCCGTACGACTATAAGATTTATTGGTTGGTATTGGATTTCTAAGGGCATCGCATCTCTACGCATATTTGCACCATAAATTGGAAAACAGCTTCATGCATGCCTAGCTCCTTGCGAATAGACTAAGCAGATATCAACGATTCCATGTTAAAGTGATGTTAAAGATTTCATGATGTTAGTAAGAAGTTTTGCCACTAATTTAACAAGCTTTCAGAAAAGCAATGAAGCTTTGTGATTATAAGAAA